ACAAGTTAATGAAAAGCCACATAAAACATAATAAAACTATATATTAGATTAAAAAATAGAAAAATTATGTTAAATTATTAAAAATTTAATATTAGAAATGAAAGGGAAAGACTACTTGAATTTGATATTAAAAATTTCTTAAAACTATGATGAGAATGCTCAAACTATGGAGAATACCACGAAATTGAAGTCTTATTTATGAAAAATAAATAAATAAATATTTAAAAATACATAATATAGGTACTAATGAAAATTTAAATTTAAATTTGTATCTTAAAACTAAAAAAGAAAAAATTACGTAAAGAAATAAAATGACAGTGAAAATATTACTACAACAGATTACTACAACATTTAGATATAATGTGTTCAAATAATTAAGAAAATATTTTTCTATGATTGATATTTGAATTGAGTGCAGTTAGTTTAAATTTGAAAGCACAACATACTTTTTTGAAAATGCGGTCCAAATTAGAAAATAGAATGACAATTATTTGAATTTGAGATGAGAAAGTTTTTAAATTTTTATCTATATTATATTAGAATGAGTGTGGTAGAAATAGATATTAAATTCAAACAAGCTAATAGAAATTCACATGACAATGTAATAATATTAGTTATTGAATAATATAATATTAAAAATAAAGAATAAATAGAGAAAAAACAAAAATTCAAGTTTTTTTATCATAGAAAAAAGGGTAAAACTTATTTAAATTTGAGATGAGAAAGTTTTTTATATTATGATAAGAAAAGTCATAATATGGATAAATTCACATAATTCAAGTCTTATGATTACAAAAATTAAAGTATTGTATTATATAAATAAATTAGTGATAATGTTATGAAATTTGTTACAAGTTAATGAAAAGCCACAAACATAATAAAACTATATATTAGATTAAAAAATAGCAAATTATGTTAAATTATTAAAAATTTAATATTAGAAATGAAAGGGAAAGACTACTTGAATTTGATATTAAAAATTTCTTAAAACTATGATGAGAATGCTCAAACTATGGAGAATACCACGAAATTGAAGTCTTATTTATGAAAATAAATAAATAAATCTTTAAAAATACATGATATAGGTACTAATGAAAATTTAAATTTAAATTTGTATCTTAAAACTAAAAAAGAAAAAATTACGTAAAGAAATAAAATGACAGTGAAAATATTACTACAACATTTAGATATAATGTGTTCAAACAATTAAGAAAATATTTTTCTATAATTAATATATGAATTGAGTGCAGTTAGTTTAAGTTTGAAAGCATAACATAGTATTTCGAAATTGCGGTCCAATTTACAACATAGAATGATAAGAATTATTTGAATTTGAGATGAGATTTTTTTATTTCATAAATTTTTTATTTTTGAAAATATCATGCAAAGAAATACAACAACAAAAGTATTACTACAATATTTAGATATAATGTGTTCAAACAATTAAGAAATATTTTTTCTATGATTAAAATAAAATTAAAAATATAAAATTAATTTCTAATATGGGTAATTTTACTAATTATAATTAAAAATTAACTGCATTTAATACAAAATAATTATAAGAGAATTCAATAAATTGGAAAGTAATAATAAAATAACTTATGTATTAATATTTTTGACTAATTAAAAGTTAAAATTTAAAATATAATATGATATTATTTTGGTTATAGGTAAAATATTAATATAAAAATTAATTAAAATTTATAGTAGGGAAGAGATGTATAAAAAAAATAAAGGCAGTGTTAGGATATTTATACTTTAAATTAATTGAAAAATAAATAAATTAAATAATTGAACTATATTTTTGAAAATATTACTGATAAATTAAAATGATTAAGAAATTCTGAATAAGAGGCTACAAGCATTTAAATATACCAAATTTCAAGAATAAAATATTTATATTTATTAAAGACTATTAAAAGGATAATAAGCAAATTAATTTAATTATTAATCTAATAAAAATTATATGACAGTATAATAATATTAAATAATTAAATAATAAATAATACAATAACTACAAGAAAAGAAAAAAAATAAAAAAGAATTTACATAAAATGATGTGATGAATAAGACATATTTTACTTTGAGTCAAAAACAAAGTGATAGTAATAATTTTGTTAAAATAATGTGATATAATATGCTCAAACAAGATAGATCACAACATGACTTATTTAGTATTTTTTTAATATTGACACTGAAACGAAATGCAAGTACTAAAATTAAGGGGTTAGGTTACTATAAATAAAAAAAAAGTTGTCTACTACGAGATTTGAATAATAATTTCATATCCTGCTTTATAATTAATATCTAGTGTTATATAATTTTTATCTGAAAGGTTTATATTTTAAGGTTATTTGCACATGACTCAAACAACTTACATCACAATTTGATATGATTTGTGTTTGCGCATCGCGGGGTACTAATACTAGTGCTGTTAAAAAGGGTAAGGGGGACTTTGATGTCATAATTTGGTGGTTGTTTTTTGTGAAGGTATTTTCAAGATTTGCGGTGTTAAAGAAATTGGATCATGCGTTTCACGTTAATGGGTATTATCATCATTTTGAATCAGTAACTGTCACCAAAAACTTTTTTTTTTTGGGAAGGATTCAGAATCATGACAAGTATAACGGAGGCTACAATGATACATCATGTGGCTATTGTGTTAATTCTACTATGGTTGCTTAATTCTTTCGATTATAGCCACCCTTTGGCTTACTTCCTTTCCCTCATCTACCTTTATCTGGTATGTACAATTTTCTGTTTTTCTCATGTTGTTATGTGATTTTTTTGGTTTAATTTTCAATATGGATTAATTAGGCTCTTTTTTTCTTGTTGGAATTTGAAGGTTCATGAGCAGTATATAACTAGATTACAGAGGAAAGTGCAATTTGAGGAAAAAAGACAGTCGAATCAACGACGAGTAAGTATATTTGGCAGAACAATTAATGACATAATTTTCCTTTTTATTACATAGGACTTTATTAATATTGGTGGGTAAAAGTAGGAAATATTCCAAGTGGTTCAAAAAGTTTCAGCAAAATGGTCTTTTTTGCTTTACTACTGAAATTCTTTTCTGGGTTGAGATTTTGTTAATTTTTATATTTCTGCAAAAAGTGTCAAGATTTAGATTTGGTTGAAGGGTCCCATATGGTGTTTATTTTCTTTTGCACTATGATCCTTTATGCAAAACTTCGACAGAATCTTTAACTAGGTCTCATGATTAGCATTTTTTCAGCATACTGTAGATGTGGTATTTTGAGACAATACTTATGTTTGTGTTTAGAAGGGAGCCTTAGAGCCACGGTAAAGTTGGTTTCATTTGACCTATAGGTCACGGGTTCGAGCTGTGGAAGCAGCCACTAATGCTTGCATAGGAGTAGGCTATCTATATCACCCCTTGGGATGCGGCCTTTCCGCGGACCCTACGTGAACGCTAGATACTTTGTGCATCAGGCTGCCCTTTATTTCAATTTGTGTTTGATATTTTTTTTTTAGGTACTTTCTGATTCTGAAACAGTGAGGTGGTTAAACCATGCACTTGAAAAGATTTGGCCAGTATGCATGGAGGAGATCGTTTCGCAGAAAATTCTCCTCCCTATCATTCCGTGGTTTATGCAGAAATACAAGCCCTGGACTGTGGTAAGGGTCCAGACTAATTATAGATTTTTACTTAAATGGATTTAGTATTTATGTTCTTATCGCTGAATCGTTGCACGTTTGCAATTATGGATGCAGAACTTGGGACTTAGTACTTGTTCAACTATTAGTGATTTTTCACATTTACTTATGTTCAGTACAAAAAGCACTGGGTTTAGGTGAACCTATTGGAACTACATTGCATCGGCCTCTACTTCTCCTTGACGGCTAGATTACTTTCTTATATGGGATTCTTCTTTACCGTGTTAGCGTGTGTAAAATGCCAGTGTTTTTTGCTCTGTTCAGTGCTTTGGATTGTAGTTGCCTTAGGGGTCGCTTGACACGCGGGATAAGGTGGGATAAAATGTGGTACTAAATTTATACTATGTTTGGTTGATTGGTATAAATTTATCCCGGGATACCGTCAACCAAGCATAGTATAAACTTAGTTCCAGACTTAATCCTGGATATCCCATCTTATCCCATCGAACTTGGTATTATTTTATTCCACCTCCCAGGTGGGATAAATTAGTCTAGGGATTATAATCCCAGGACTATAATCCCGAGATAATTTAGTTTGCATACCAAACGTCCCCTGATAGGTTTAATTGTTGGATATTTTGTTCAAGGCAGTAGTTAATCTTGGTAACATAGCAATTTGTATTTCTAGTATGAGAATTAGTTTGTTCTGCAAGATAAGTTATTAGGTGGCTTTTCTGGTTACCTACAGAAAGACATTGTAGCACAGCATCTCTACTTGGGAAGAAGCGCACCTATGTTCACGGAAATGAGGGTTCTTCGTGAATCTACAGGGGATGATCATCTCGTATGTAATCTTGACTCAAGAAAGTTGTTCTATGCTATCAGTTTGGCTCTGGCGGTATCTGTTCTTTATTTGCTAAGTTTAAATTTCTGTACTCGAGTGCAGGTTTTGGAGCTGGGAATGAATTTTCGTTCTGCTGATGACATGAGTGCAATTCTTGCTGCGAAGCTGAGGAAAAGGTTGGGCTTTGGAATGGTGACAAAGTTGCATCTGTTGGGAATGCATGTTGAGGGAAAGGTAAATTACTCGTGCCAGTTGATTGTGTGTAACTGGTATTGAAGAGAAGAGGGGGGCGGTGGGATTGGTAGTATCAGTTTATATTTCAGAATTCCATTCTCAGATCCTTCGGTTTTGATACACTAGGTGTTATTGATGTCACGGCAATTTTGGCAGAGTACATTTTACTTACAAGTGCTTTGCATGTCCTACTTCCTTTGCGGCAACAATTAGCTTAGAAGTTAGTTCAAAGGCTACTTTTGTGGTTCTAGGATTTTTGCAACTTGTGTTTTCCCTCTATGAGCTTTTTTATAGGGACTAAGGACTGAGAATTCGGATGGTCTTGTCTTTGTTAAAGGGATTTATAGAAAGATTGTTAGTAGGAGCCTAAAGAAATACTTTGATGATGAGAAATTCTAGAGTCTGAACATCAGTATCGCAGATAACATGATCTATGTAAATGTAGGATCACACGATATCTTGATGCATCATGTAATAACAATTAATTTCAAGAAGTACTGACGTATATGATTTCTTGCAGAATTCTGTACATCATTGATGTAAACAGCTTTTTCCTGTTGCTTAGCACGAGCACGTTCTGCTTTATTTTTTAGTGGTCTTTGATGTTGTGTCTAGTAAAGAGTTCAGGGATATAGATTCTAATAATAATTCGTAAAATAATTCTCTCATGGAAATTTCAGAAAATTGTCTGGTCAATGATAGTTTAGCCACTGCAAGGTTGAAATGTTTAGAGCTTTAGTAATTTTATTTTTATTTCTCAATCTTATGATTCGTCATTGATGGGATGGATGGCCATATTTTAATCCCAGCTTTTGTAGCAACAATGTTTTTTGGGAGCTAAACGTTTCCATGTAGGTCTTGGTTGGGGTCAAGTTCCTGAGAAAGTGGCCGTTTCTTGGTCGTTTGCGGGTGTGCTTTGCAGAGCCTCCTTATTTTCAGATGACTGTAAAGCCAATTTTTACACATGGGATTGATGTAACAGAACTTCCTGGAGTTGCTGGATGGCTGGTTAGTTCAATGAGTCTCTCTCTGTGTCTGTGTAATTCAGTTAGCATTTGTGCACTTCCGCTAAATTTGTTTGTCATCCTTTTCAGGATAATCTTCTTGCTGTTGCATTTGAGCAGACACTCGTCGAGGTGCGAAGCCTTCTCATTTGGGGTTTTTTGTTTTCTTAACTTTATTCCTCTGACGTGCTTGTAATAGAAGCATTTTAAAGTTGATATCCTTTATATAGTGACAAGTGTTTCACATTAGACATTTTTGGGTGAGAAGTAATAAATCGCTCGAGTTTTTTCTTCACTTGCTGGAATGGTGTGCATAGTTCACAAACTGGCACTGTGGTTTCCATGTGCCATAAGAAGTCCTTCATAAAGAGCTTTTACACTAAGTCTTCATAAAATTTTGCAGCCCAACATGCTGGTAGTTGATATGGAGAAATTCGTCTCGCCCCAACCAGGTAAAAGTCACTTTAGCCCGTCTCTCTCACTCTTCCTCTTCCTCTTTGGTCAAGTATAATCAGGTCCATATCGACAAATTAAATCCTTTTTTTGGGGGTTGGGGTGGTGGGGTACTTATCCCCTTCGGTTAATGGGGCTAAACCCCCCCCCCCCCCCCCCCAAACCAAAATCCCTTCTTTTGACTTGTGATGAACTTGTTTAGATGGAAATGTATGGGAATAGAGTTGGTTGGGAAGCGATTTCATCAAATAAGTTTCATTTGTGCTACTTGATTCCATGATGTCTGTTTTCTTTTCAGACGAAAGCTGGTTTTCTGTCGATGCCAAGGAGCCGATCGCTCATGTTATTTTGGAAGTCCTTGAAGCAGAAGACATGAAGCCAGCAGATTTTAATGGTTAGTTGAAAAGTGTCTTACTGTAATCTGTCAAATTAGAGAGGAACATGTTTGATAAGTGGATGTCATTTTCAGGATTGGCTGATCCATACGTTAAGGGGCGTCTTGGGCCATATAGATTCAGAAGTAAGACTCAGAAGAAAACATTAGCTCCACAGTGGCAAGAGGAGTTCAAGATTCCAGTCTGTTCATGGGAATCTCCCAACAATATGCTTAACGTAGAAGTTCGTGACGAAGACCATTTTTCTCAAGATGATACATTGGGGTCTGTTCTCTTCTCTTTTGATATTTACTACTGGAACTTAGCTAATAAATAGAAAATTTCTATTGTTACGTGGCTTCTATCACATTCTATTCTTTTTTATTCCAAAAAATCTTTTTTTTTTGTGTATTCTCTTTCTTGAATGCTATGCAAAATGTGCTTTAGTAAATGTAAATGCTTATGTATGTGCTTTATTTATCTAAACACATTTTTATTTGACAGAGATTATTCCATCAACGTCTGCGATTATAGGGATGGCCAGAGGCATGATATATGGTTGTCTCTTCAGAACGTTAAAATGGGGAGATTACGTCTTGCCATAACTGTACTTGAAGGCAGCAAAAAGGTATATATTTTTTTCTTGCGACTTGCGGTGAACAAGTAACTAGACTATCACGAAGCCAAGACTTCTCATGAAATCAAGGCTTTTCGCACTTGGAAATGCTGAACTGCAATTTATTCTGTTTCCGGCTAACTCCATTAAGTTAAATGGCCTAATAATAAGTGGGATGCGTATTTTACTAATGAAAGTACAGATGATTGAAAATGTATATGAATATTCAATGATTTTCAGGGTACAGAGAAGTCATACGAGAGGGCAAAAATGAACAACAAACAGGAGAGAAATTCTGTTGATATGGATACCGCTGAAACAGGCTCCTTATCAACTGATTTGGATAAGCAATCGTCAAAAGTTGCAGATAAATATGAACCGATTAACATAGAAGGGCAGCAGGAGACTGGTATGTGGGTACACCACCCTGGCAGTGAAGTACCACAAGTATTGGAACCGAGAAAGGGAAAGAGTCGTGTTACTGACGGGGAAATCCATGGTTCCGACGCTGATTCAACAGGAAGTTTTAAGTCAAAAACTGGGGGATCTACTCGGGGTGATGAATGCATGCCTGATGAAAGTAATGGAACTAAGAAGCACTCGACGAATCTAATCAACAGGGGTTTTCATAAGATCGGCTCCTTTTTCCACAGAAGTCAAAAAAATGAGGAGAAGTCTGGAAATCTTGGAGAGCCTGCTCCATCTCCGCATGCTAATTTAAAGGCAGTGAACGCAAAGGAAATCGGGGTGAAGTTTATAATGGATGACTCAGTTTCAAGAACTCCGAGAGAAGATGGTACAGAGAGTAATGAGGGAAATGGTCAAGGTAGCGCCAAAAAGGGCAAAGTTAAAGAGAGGGCGAAGAATATTCTAAAAATTGCAGTTTCTCGGAAGTCATCACGAAAATCTAAAGGTGAGTCAGAATCAACAGCGTCAGAGAGAGATCTCTCTGTGGAATCTGATTCCTCTGAAGACGATTATTCGCTATCAGTTGGCTCACCTCTAGTTGACGGCCATTCAGTGAGCAGCCGTTTCATAGCCAGCACTGGCGTTGAGAATTCCAATGACAGCACAGTGAAGAGCAGTGGATGGGTAGATACAGAAAGCACGAAAGAAGTAGTTCATACTGGTTCTGAGGGCTCATGAGAAAACTATGAATTCAGTCAGTCCTTAAAGTTTCAAAACCTCTGATTTGGATCAATGCAAAGAGCACTCAGATGTGTTGCTGAATAGTAGTATGTTTTTTGTACAGACTCCTTCTAACCGAGTTATTGTTGTTATGGTTTTACTTGTACATGCTGATATGTCCAGTAATAGTTTCATGTTGGCTTCTGTTTGTACGTTTTGATTTTCTTTTTCTGTAAACAATGACTGTAGTTCACTAAATTGGAAAGTGTTCGTTCTTCGTGTAAAAATTTAATATTTTACTTATATATACAGTGTAATTTTTCATAATATTTCGATAAACACCCTTAGCAAAAGGTGGCTTCGCCCCTGATTGCGCCAGACAACATTGGCAAGTTTTGTCACACACACATACAAAAAAGAAAAGAAAACGACCGTATCCGATATTTGTATCAAACCAGTATATGCAAGCCATTTGTCTTTTGTTACAGTATTTGTCACTTAATTAGTGATTAAGCGATACATATTGTCATATTAATTTATGTTAATTTGTAAAGTTAAATTTTTTGTTGGATATAAACACCGGATACTGGTAATATTTCCAGCCTTCTCACCCCACCCTTAAATATGATAACACTCTATTTGACAGCTTGGTAGGCCTAACAATAATTAACAAGACTTATTGATAAAACAAATCAATTTGCTCTGTTGATGCTGAGCACAATATTACTGTTGTATCTTCTAACATTCACTGAACAACAGGTATATGATTTGTTACAGATAATCGGGGATATTCAAGAGAATCTATGCTTCTTTCCATCTTCTTGATATAGTTGTTTGGATCTTTCCTTTTAAAAACAGCACCAGAAAAACTTGGGAGCATGTAAAAATTATGAAGTCTTAGTACCGGAGTAATACATTTTTAAGGCCTTGAGGGGAGCCTTGGAGCAACAGTAAAGTTGTCTCCGTGAGACCTACAGGTCACGAGTTCGAGTCATGGAAGTAACCACTAATTCTTGCATTACAGCATTAAGGTCGGCTTTCTACATCACACTCCTAGGGGCACGACCCTTCCCCAGCCTTGCATGAGGCAATCTCCAACCCTGGCTTCCATTTTCTCCTCCAAAATGGAGTAAAGTTACTCCAACCATTACTCTATTTTTTACTCTAAAAAAGAATATTCCGTTTTATATTCTTCTCTCTCTTCAATATTATATTATTATCTTTTATTTAAATTTTATTTTCTTATATATTTATATTAAATAAATTATATCTTTTTTTCTTTTTTACATATTCATCATATATAATTTAATATAAAATTATTTTATACCATAAATTAAAAATAATATAATTTGTAAGCAAATATCATAGATTATATATATTAACGGATAATTCAAATAAAAGTGAAATCATTGAGATACAAGATAATTAAATACATATTACATTATGGTTTCAACTTCCACCTCTAGTATGCTCCCATAAACGATCTATTAAATATTCAACCTCATTTAATGTATTTTAAATTTTCACTTTTCAGTTTTAGCAACATCTAATATTTTATATTCACACCTTTCAATTTTAGCAACATCTAATATTTTATATTTGCACCATTCATTTTTTGAGATGATTATATGCTTTTCATGTACAATTCTAACAATTTTACATAAAATTAATAAATGCACGAAAATTAATTTATCAAAATAATACGCCAAAGTTAAGATGTAAAATTAATATTATAAAAATATAACATAAACATAATTAGATATATATAAAGAGATAAATTAAAAGAGATAACTAATAAAAATAATAATAAAATAAAGGTATAAAGTGATGGAGGAGATGAATAGTGTCACTCCATATTTGGAGTAACATTATTCATCCCCTATTTGGGTGGCAAAAATGGGGGAGGGTTGGAGATGCATTTGGCAAAAAATGGCTCCATTATGCAGAAATGGGGAAGGATTGGAGATGTCATGAATGTGAGATGCTTTGTGCACCGGGCTACTTTTTCATAACACGAGGGTGATCGAAATTTAAACGCATGATACTGAGTCATCTTTTAGTATCGAAAAGACATATATAGATAATTGTATTGTAACGACCCAACCGGTTGTTTTGAGAATTTACGCCCCGATCCCCTATTAACTGCATTCCCCGTGTTTATTTCTGGTATTGTGATTTGCCGGGAAGATTCGTTTTGAGTTTTGAAGTGTTTTGGGACACTTAGTCCCTTGTGATGACCCAAAGGGTCATCTTTTGTTTTAGAACCCAAATTCGTGTTCTGAGGCCTTGAAAACCTCATTTTCTTTCTCCTCGATTTGCGTGCGCAATCCGGACGCATTTCCGGAAAGCTTTTATGTGAAATCTAAGAAAAATATTGAATTTGGCCTTCAAAATTGATTAAAGTTAACTTCGGTCAATATTTTTGGTAAACAGACCCGGACCCATGATTTGACGGTACCGTAGGGTCCGTAATAAAAAATGGGACTTGGGAGTATGTCCGAAATCGAATTCCGAGGTCCTTAGCCCGAGAAAAGAAGTTTTAAAGAAAATTGTTTGCTGGAAACTATAAAGGTTTTTAGAAATTGAATAGTGTTGGAACATGATGGTATCGGGCCCGTATTTTAGTTTCGGAGCCCGGTACAGATCCGTTATAATATTTAGGTCATATCTGTGAAATTTGGTGAAAAACGCAAAAGATTTGATATAATCGGACCCTTGATTGAGAAAATAGAAATTTGAACTATCTTGAGGAATTCATGAGTTTTGGTGTCAAATTCGTTGATTAAGATGTTATTTTGGCGATTTGGTTGCGCGAGCAAGTCCATATGATGTTTTTAGACTTGTGTGCATGTTTGGGTTGGAGCCCCGATGGCTCGGGTTAGTTTTGGGTAGGCCACGGAGTGTTTTGGGACTTAAGAAAATTTCTGTTGCAGCTGGTGTTTTGTTGCAGGCTCTGATCTCGCAATTGCGAGGTCAGGCTTCGCAATTGCAAGCCTCTCAGGCTTGGCAATTGCGAAGAGGCCCCGACCAGCCTTAGTTCGCATTTGCGAGCATTTACTTCGCATTTGCGAAGTCAACACGAAAGTCAGCCTTCGCAATTGTGACTAACTATTCGCAATTGCGACAGCAGCAGACATTGCAAAAGGTTTGCATTTGCGAAGCTCCTGTCGCAAATGCGACATCTGCAGCCGAGTAAAAGGGGTCTTGGACGGGATTTTCACTTCATTCTTCAAAATTTCAAAACCTAAACTCCAAAGGGCGATTTTCCTAGAGCAAGTTCTTCCCCAAATCATAGGTAAATGAATCTTAACTCTTTTTCTTCAATCTATTTCATCATTTTACATGATTTCACTTCAAAATCTAGGGTTTTTCATAGGAGATTGGGTGTTCTTGGGTAGAAATTAGGATTTTTGAATTTTGGGGATTTGGACCTCAAATTGAGGTCGGATTTCAAAACCAATTGCATATTTGAGTTCGTGGGTGAATGGGTAATCGGATTTTGGTTCAAACTTCGAGTTTTGACCAAGCGGGTCCGGGTTCGGTTTTTAACTTTTTGGGGAAAACATTGGGAAATCTATACTCATGCATTAGAATTGGTTTATTTTAGTGTTTTATTGATGTTATTAAGTAAATTATGACTAGATTGAAGCGGATTGGAAGTGGAACAGAGAGGTAAAGCGGTAATTGAGGCTTGATTTTGGCTGTGGAATCGAGGTATGTGTTTGATCTAACCTTAGCTTGAGGGAATAGGTGTTGTTGTCTTACTTGCTACGTGTTAGTATTGAGTTCGACGTATAGGTATGGTGACGAGTATCTATACGTTGATGTTGAGCGTGCAAGTGAGTCTTATATGATGACCGTTATATCTCTTATCATGTAGTGTTCATGCTTAAAATGATATTTCTCTATGTTGAGCAAGTTTTATGATATTGTTGAGTATTTGATCATTGATGAGTATTGACTCAAGTTGAGACTTATTTCATAGAATTGACTGTTGAAATGAGATTGGTTATAGCTGATTCCCTTCTCGGGATATTATTATTTCTATTGTTGATTCCCTTGCCGGGATGTATTGTTTCTATTGTTTGGGTGAGGAAGAGTGTAAAGCACGAAGGGTGATGCCGTGCCGATATTCTGAGTGAGTGTTAATGCACGAAGGGTGATGCCGTGCCGATATTGTAAGTGTTAATGCACGAAGGGTGATGCCGTGCCATGATTTGAGAGTTAATGCACGAAGGGTGATGCCGTGCCATGATTGTGAGAGTTAATGCACGAAGGGTGATGCCGTGCCGTTTATGTTGTTTCTTATGATGAGGACGAGAGTAAAAGTAAGAAGGGTGATGCCGTGCACGTTTTACTGTTCATTATCCCTGTTGATACAAATATGGTGTTCATTTTGCTTCTCTGTTGAATTACTGTTAGAATTTGATATCCCCCGCAGCATGTTTCCCCTTCCCATCTTTATCTGTTATTTCCTGTTATTATTGTTCTGCTCGTATATGATTTAACTGCACAGGTTATATGGTTGTCGTGTCCTAGCCTTGTCACTACTTCACCGAGGTTAGGCTCGACACTTACCAGTACATGGGGTTGGTTGTACTGATACTGCACTCTGCACTTTTTGTGCAGATTTCGGTGCCAAACCTTGTGTGTAGACTCGAGGTTGCTGCCTTCAGTCCAAGGAGACCAAGGTAGATCTGCTGGCTTTCGTAGAGCCTGAAGTCCCCTTTCCATGTTTTAGTTTCTTCTGTCTCTTCTATTTGGAGAATAGTTATACTTCTTTCAGACTTGTATTTGTAGTAAATCTTAGTCGTTCGTGAATTGTGACACCAGATCAGTTGGGGTAATTATGTATTAGAATTTTTGTATTGCACTATCACTTCCGCATTTCCTAATTATTTTGTTTTAGTTAGTATCTGTTCCTGTTTTGCGTTAATAATAATAATGGTAAAACTGTAACTGTTAGCTTGCCTAGCTTTCACGAGTAGGCGCCATCACGACTCCCGAAGGTGGGAAATCCGGGTCGTGACAAGTTGGTATCAGAGCTATAGGTTTCTTAGGTCTCATAATTCACGAACAAGCTAGGTAGAGTCTGAGGGATCGGTACAGAGACGTCTGTGCTTATCCCCTAGAGGCTACAGAGTTTAGGAAAAAAACTTCAGATCTATTCTTTCCTGTCGTGCGACTTGATTTCTCAATGCTAATTGAACTTCCACTCTGTTCTTTTGCAGATGGTAAGGACACGTACTGCTTCATCAGCTGACCAGCAGCCCGAGCCCCCAGTGGCAGCTCCTACAAGGGGTAGAGGCAGAGGACGCGCATGGCTCAG